CGGAAGCTCTGATGCAAATGCAGTCTCGTGTATTGAATAGTTTCCAGGTATGTTCCAGATATAATTGTCTGATAACATTTATCCTACTGTACAGATAACGTACCTTCTGAAGACACACATTTAAAACCTTGTCAGCGGACCCGTCCTGATGGAACCAAATACTGTTCAAAGGCGTTAAACCCAGCCCCCACTCTGTATCAGCTGAAGTGTTTACTGGATTATTAACTGGAATTTTTGTTTGTTTGGTTTTTCTGTTTGTCCTTACATTCAAACGTTTAGAAATGTTAGGTGAATTTTAACCATTAATCATGAGCTTCACTGTGATATGACGTCAACTGGCTTGCACCTGCACCTATGTCTAGTCGGAGGGGACATCACTAGAACAGTCGTCTAAGGCGCCGCAATTAGCTGTGCAGAATTACTTCCCTTGGACACTCCCGAAAAACAAGATCGAAGGTCCGGTTCGTCCCGATTATGTTTCAAGGCTTCTTCGCGACATATCCCACATGTTGATTTCATCAAAGTGGAAAAAAGTCTGCGACTGCATCACTTCTGGCGTTCGTACCACTTTTAGCTGACATTCTGTGACACATCTGCCACGTGGACGTTAAAGCCAACTTAAAGCCAACTCACTGACCCGTGATCAGATCGGGGTTACACCCATGCTTGTCCTAAGAGGCGACTAACGGGATCGGGTGGTCAGGCCTGCTGACGTGGTTGTCACATGTCGCATCTATTGCGTAGATCGATGCCCATGCTGTTGATCACTGGAATGTCTGGTCCAGACTCTATTATTTACAGACCGCCCTCATATAGCTGGAATACTGTTGGGTGCGGCGTAAAACTAAACTCACTCACTATTAACCGCGGCGGACATCAGGAATGGGCTTCACACATTGTACCCATGTGGGGAATCGAACCCGGGTCTTCGGCGTGACGAGCAAACGCTTTAACCACTATGTTACCCCATTGCCCCCAGTTCTACTAAGCTTGAGTGGGTTTGTGAATTATGCTTTCAGATATTTTATCCTAGTTGTTCAAATACCAGTGTCCAAGTTCAAACATCAAACCTCAAAATTTAAATTTATTTCAATAATATAGCTCTAGGACACTGATCCTAACAATGACAAGCCTTCTAGTTCACTCAAAATGACAGCTGTTCAGGTCACCCCATAGCATCAATGTTAATGTGTGACATGTTACGACCAACAGTTCGAAGGCTGAGTGAGCGATATTCCATCAATATCACGGCGGGGGACGCCAGAAATGGGCTCCACACACTGTACCCACGTAGAGAATCGAACCAGGGTCTTCGGCGTGACGAGCGATACTTAAAACATGCACTTCATTCTTGACTTAAATAAATACTTTTGTTTTGTCAGTCAACAGTTTGTGCGCCATTTCTTGATATTTACAGGGCGCTTCAATCACTTTAGTCGTTTGTACTCGAAGGCATCGTCAATTCTCGACAAGGTAAAGCGGTAAATAGGGTATGATAATAAACAATAAACAGATAGAGTAGTAGAGCTTCAAAGTAAGCATAATATAATTCATATTCTCATTTTGAATTTTTTGCTACGTATACTCTCCCCCAAAAAGAAACGCATCATGAAAATAGCAATTTCATGTGGCAATGAATTAAAAAGTGATTCATTTTACAAAAGGTTTTGCTCTGTTTATGAGTCCTATGGTGTTTATGTTTTGAAACATCACAACAAAACGCACCATCCGTAAAATACCCGTATTTAACAGCATGATTTTCAATTTCGGCGTGTAGTGTCACAGAATACACAATTCACGTGCAATGCACGTGAAAGTTGGGGATCAGATAGTCTCAATGATGGGTATTAAAGGTTGATCGCTGTCTGTCGATTATTCACTCTATTTGGAATATTGTTGACGAATGCAAAATGCCACGTCTAAGTGAAGCCAACCGACATATCACCATTGGTTTGCTTGAAGCTGGCCAGTCTCGACGTGCAGTTGCCCGACGCATGAATGTTCACCAAAGCACCATTTCACGGCTCTGGGAGAGATATCGCCGGCAGAATGCGGTAGCAGATACCCCTCGTAGTGGGCGCAGGATCGCTACATCCGGGCACATCACCTGCGTCATCGAGCAGCTACGGCGACCAGTACAGCTCGACAAATACCCGGATTGAGGAGGCTTTCTGCACAGACCGTCAGGAACAGGTTGAGAGAGGCTGGTTTACGTGCCAGAAGACCTTATTTTGGCCCTGTGCTTCGACAACAACATCGTCGACATCGAGTTCAATGGTGCACCAACGTTCAGGCCTGGAACCCACCGAATTGGCGTATAATCTGGTTCAGTGATGAATCACGATTTCTATTGGAACGACGCGATGGAAGAATGCGGGTGTACAGACGTCGACGTGAACGTTTCGCCGACGCTTGCGTTCCCCAGGAGGACAGATTCGGCCGGGACAGTGTTATGATGTGGGGAGCGATCACCTGCCGTAGGAGAAGTGATTTGGTGATGATCCACGGCAACCTGACAGCTCAACGGTACTGTGACAAAATCCTACGCCCACACCTCCTTCCAATCATTGATCTCCAGAGGGAGTTGTTTCAACAGGACAATGCCAGGCCCCACACAGCACGTCACACTAGAGACTTCCTCCAGAACCACAACATCAATATGCTCCCCTGGCCCTCAAGATCAACCGGACTTAAACCCGATCGAACATCTGTGGGATGCCCTGGACAGACGGGTGCGACGACGTAACCCTCACTTCAGCAACTCGCACAGGCACTACAGGCAGAGTGGGCTGCGATTGGGCAACACGAGATTCTGAGACTTATTCATTCGATGCCGAGGCGATGCCGTGCAGGTCTGGATGCCCACGGTGGTCACACGAGGTATTGACTTCAGTGCCACCACACGTATCCATGTGACACTCAAACTGACTTTCCTCGAGTTGGTGCCAAAGACGGATAAGTCTGCATTCCCAGTGTGCAATTTCGCTATGTTTCATTGACTCATAAAGCCTACAAGATGTTTCAAAATAAACATAAAAATACAGTTGAAATTCCTATATGCGTTTTTTTTGGGGAGTATATTACTATATATATGCAAATCAAAAAGAAAGGAATTGTTTGGCTTGTTGGCCCCTTTGAGCAATAAATATAAAATTTGAAAACTCATTAGCCATATTATGTTGTAAAACTAGATGTTTTAATATATATGTATATCAAGGGAATATCATCTTTGGATTTTTTAGAACGTGTAGAACGTTCGACATAGGGAATTGACTTACTGAAGTCCTCTGAAAATCACCAACAAACATTGACACAATTGGGTGACAATCTAGATGTTCAAGAAACACTCATTACATCTTGTGGCCAGTTTGTGAGTTCTATGCATGTACCAAATAATCCAGTGATAACCTCCCACCAACATCTAAAACATCACATTGAACGAGTAAACTACCAAGTCCATGTTTGGAAACAGTCTCTGCAACCAATCATGAACATTCCTTCACCAGTTGACCATGGTTAGAGCGTTTGTGATGGTCAGCTTATCCCTATTCTGATGTCGAGAGATCCTGCTCCCCGTGGATTGGTTGAACTGACATTGTGTAAATGCAAAAAGTCAGCATGCCAGCAGAAAGAATGATATAGTGTGCACATAGGCATGTGTTTTGTATGGCAGATGATTGCTGCCCGAACACCTTTGACTTGTTGCCAGGAGATGACTCCGATTCTGACATGAGCTATTTGACGGCAGTCTGTAAATAATCGTGTATGAACCAGACAATCCAGGGATCAACAGCATAAACATCAATCTACGCAATTGGGATACGATGACATGTGTGAACCCAGTCAGCGAGCCTGACCACCAGATCCCGTTAGTCGCCTCTTACGACAAGCATGGGTTATTGAAGATCAATTCTAACCGGATCTTCACAGGTCCGATTCTGACATGAAGTAACATATGAAATCAAAGAAAGTGAAAAGGAGGGTTAATTGCAAGCTTATGGATGTATCAAAAGTGATTAAGAGTTATCTGCTAGAACAATTAGAATACCTACAACCAAAGCTAAGACGTAGTTATCGGCCATGAAGCATACTTTTCAAACACTTTTGGATAATGTTATTTCATCCCAAGACATCATACTAACTGAAAATAGTGTCAAACAAAATCAGTACCGGGGATGCTACGAAATCCTATTTCTAGGCCCCTTTTGAGATTCTCCTCCCGGGCCCCGCTCCTGAAAGCGATCTTAGCGCTAAGATGACCGTAACTCCCTTACTTTAACATAGACTTACGACTGTAGTAGCGCTACGATCGCTTTCGGGAACGGGGCCCTGGACTAATATAATTAAAGTACCACCGTTTATCATTTGACGCATGCTCAAAGCGCTAACGCAATCACTACCCCATTTACCCGTGAAAATCCGGGTAAGAATTGGTCTTCAGCAACCCATGCTTGGCATAAGAGGCGACTAACGTCATCGTATCACAAATGGGTAGATCTGTGCTCATAATGTTGATCACCGGATTGTCTGGTCCATGGTCAATTACTGACAGACTGCCGCCATATAGCTGGAAAACTGCTGAGTGCGACCTTAAACAACAAACAAACAAACTACCCTAATTAAGGGACGAGTAACTGTGCATTCAATTATCTTTAACGGCTCCGTTGTGAAGATACAACCCAAGTTGCACGTGAGACGTTAGAAGATTCACAGCAACCACATGAACCTACCGGATACCCTTTGACTGCTGCACCCGTGAAGATCCGGTTTAGAATTGCACTTCAGCTACGGGGGCTTGCCGTAGGAAGCGACTAAGGGATCTCATAATATATGTTAAAATAAATAGAAGCAATACTGTGATGATGTGACCGTGTTTTACAGGTGTAACAGCACACTTAATAAAACATTATGTTTGCGAATTCACTGACGTCACACAAATAACAACACTTAATCCTCACGGAACAAAACCTTTTGGTTCTCATGATCGTAAATTAAAAGACTTTTTCGTGCACCATTCTCAGTTTATTACAAATTTAGATCTACATGTTGACAAATTGTGTTTGTTTATGGATGCCGCCTTGTCGCAGTAGCACTTAAGCCCCGTTTAAGATTCACTTCCTCAACCATTTGACCATCTAAAGGATGCAGTGTGTGTGGAGAGGAGGACCGGTGGTTGGATCCCCTAGCAGAGTCACACCAAAACCACGTTAACAGATGGCACTTGTTGCTACCCTTCCTCGTATTAGGGAGATAAACTCGACCCGGAATCGGTGTAACCTGAGGGGGGTATCCATGTTAAGCTGCGGCGTGACATCTCAGTAGGCTAAGCCAGCATTCATCGGAATAAGTACAGTCTCGCACACATTCACAGACGTTGCTGTGTGCAGTACACCGCACAATGTCAAACCCCATCTTACTCGCCCACTGACCATGTCGTTATCAGGGACCATCTCGTAAGATGCTGGTTGGACCCGTTTTCTAATCGTCTTGCTTCTCACAATAATATCCGCGGAGTGTCACCGTAGAGTTCGTCGGGCATTTGCGACAAGCCATATGTCGCCCGGACCAGAACTGTTCTTCTGGACAACAGGTGCTTGTCAATCTGTTCCGTCCCTGGTATCTGAACTTATCGATGAACTGCTGATCAGTCCTTGACGGAATAAACACGCAGGTGCGCACAGCTACCTTGACTGGTACCGGCGTGGACGGTCTCGGTACTGGGAGATCCTCGTACCCATTCACACGTACACTGAACCTAGAGAATATTGATGGATGCAGGACCCTATCTCCTCCATCCAGAAAACAGGAGTATTCTGTTTTGGGACACACGTCGGGGATCCTGTTATTGGGGCAGGTGGTATAGGGGTTGTCATAGCCTCGGTGCTGTCGACAGTTCAGTCCATTCCCAACCTTGTACTCAAACACCATTGGTCGCGATGGGTTGATGTTATACCTCGTGTCCCCGGGAACCAGCTCGTTCTCCCCTTCCACCTTCACAGTGACCCGGATGTCTCGACGGTAAGGGACCTCAGACGGCAAGTAGACTTCAAAACCAGACACATAGATCACAGCTTTCAGATCAGCCTTGGTAATCCACCCTGCTCTATACAACCACCTGCTGTTTGGTATTTTAAAGCTAATCTCTTTACCTGAATACAGTTTTGAAATATCCATGAATGCAGTGTCCCAACGACTTGTTTTCCTTCCAGAAACTGTCTGGAACTCAAGTCCTCTTGACGAACATGATGGTACTTTGTATGACAATAGAGTTGAAATGTCCGTTCCTGCGTCTTTACACACATGGGGCCGAACACCCCCCTGCCTTGTACTGCAGCTCATCACAATACATCCGTATCACCTGAAGAACCATGATTCTGTAACACACGTACGACATACCCGCCACCTGGCGGAGACTCTCTAAGACGTCTTCATCTTGGCCATTACTTCCCGCTAAGGCGTCGAAGTCAGCAACAATGCCGTCAGCTGCTTTCATGGCCACTTGAGACTGAACGTTTTGGGCTAATACTTCGACCATTTCATACTGTTTGTCATAGATACTCTCAAGCATCGATACTAACTTTTGTATTTTCACTTCGGTTGTAATGCATAGGCCGCTTGAACCAATGAATGCCTTTGGAGCTGCGGCTAAAGAAGTAGAGGTCCCATCAATAACACTACATGCTTCTTGAACAACCTTTGTAAAGTAAACGGCCATTTCAGTGATGTCAGGCTTAGTCACTGCAGGCACGTAGTCATTATACTTTTCCAGAAACCTGTCCTTAGCAGCCTCAAAGTCGTCTCCCGTCTTGTTTTGAGTTACTGTTTCCATTATGCTTTTCATGTCGTTAATAAAATCTTTATTTTTAGCAAAACCCTTTCTGACGTAGCTGATGTGGTCCCTGAGGGCTTTTATGGCAACAACCAGCCTGATTGCTTTACCTACCGTTGCTATGGCGTTCACCAACTCTGCCGTCGCATCCATGATATCAGATACTGAAGAATCGGTCGCTGCCTTCAATGGATTGCAACTTTCAGCGAGAACTACGCCGAAATTGATAGATTTCTCAGTCACTTCTAGAGCAGCAGAGGTCATCACGAAACCGAGTATTATAGCAACGTCTGTGTCTATATCAGGTGCTAGTTTTCGTACTGATTCTGTGAGGTTGTTTAACTGATGAAAAACTATCATGTCGGCCTTAGCTTTGGCAGCGCTAAAACTATGAATCTTTTTTAAAATATGTTTTGAGCTCATAAAATCGCTGGTTGATGACTTTGCTGAATTCACTCTTTAAGTCGTCTGCAACTGTCACTAGGTTATACTCCTGGTCGCTTAGCAGCTGGAGAACCCTCTCCATTTGTTTCTGTCTCAGGAACTCTCGAAGGTCAAGGTCAGTGTTCAACAAACGCACTTTGACGCCATTACCTGTCCCCTGTTTACGTGACTTTACGTAAATTCTGGTCTGGTCGACTACCCTCCAGAACAAACACATCTTCCCACTGTTACATATCTTATCCGTGTTGAAGTAAGGAAACATCGACATGAGAATCTCCAACTTCTCGTCTGCGCCCTCATCAATGTACATTGCTATTGCTCTGATGATTTTAGTGACGACTGCTTGTTGATCTGTGGTGTTGTGAGGTTGGATGGCTTTGACTCGATCATGGTACTTCCACTTGAGTAGGATTGAACTGAATGTCAGAGCGTTGAAATAATTATGAACGTCTTCATCTTTCCATCGCCCTATCCTATCTCGATGTAAATTAAACCTCTTTGCACGTTCTATTAATTGTAAAACGTCCCTCAAGAGACAGTTGGGTCCCTCGTTATCCGGACCACAAACTGTGTTAATCTCTGACTGCAGAACACCAAGTTTCAGACTTCCTGAGAAGATTCGCTCCACTGAGCGTTGGTATTTGGTATCCTGTATTCTCTTAACATCTGGGAGATACTTATAGAGATCGTTACGGAAGTTGGTGATGTCACAGAACTGTTGAAACTGTGGATGCAGTATCATAAGACGACGATAGGTGTACTGGATTACATTGATGTCGGCATCCGTACCCTTCGGAGATGTTGTGACCGGCAGCAATTTTATGTCTTTTTTCAGTTCTTCAAACAACCTTAAGCGACGCAAGAACACACAAACCCCATGATCAGATTTTTCCGAACTTTTACACATTCTCTTTGCATGGTGCATGGGCCTATATGAGGGGATGTACCCTCGCGATTGTAGCTGTTCGAAAAGAAGTTTCAAATTCATGCTAGCTGATTGTATGAAGTTTGATGCCGTCGATGACGTGATGTTCCGGCACAATAAGGTGTAGAAACCCAGCTCTGAAATGCAAAATGAGGGATAATTGGTTATTTTGTAGAATCTACGAATGCATTTATAACTGTGGGCGCTTGTATCAACACAGCATAATTGTAACTCGATATATCCAGAACTGTTTGTCCCACAGGGGAGTAAGAAGCAATTCCTAACAGGGGAGTTAGAAGCAATGGCCATAGCAGTGCATTCCCTAACAGGGGAGTAAGAAGCAATGGCCACAAAGGTGTATTCCCGAACAGGGGGATAAGAAGCAATGACCATAGCGGTGTATTCCCTAACTGGGGAGTAAGAAGCAATGGCCATAGCGGTGTAAATCCCCAACAGGGGAGTAAGAAGCAATGGCCATAGCGGTGTAAATCCCTAACAGGGGAGTAAGAAGCAATGGCCATAAAGGTGTAAATCCCTGGCCATAGCGGTGTAACAGGGAGTAAGAAGCAATGGCCATAGCGGTGTAAATCCCCAACAGGGGAGTAAGAAGCAATGGCCATAGCGGTGTAAATCCCCAACAGGGGAGTAAGAAGCAATGGCCATAGCGGTGTAAATCCCCAACAGGGAGTAAGAAGCAATGGCCATAACAGGGTGTAAGAAAATGGCCCCCAACAGGGTAGTAAGAAGCAATGGCCATAGCGGTGTAAATCCCTAACAGGGTAGTAAGGAGCAATGGCCATACTGGTGTAAATCCCCAACAGGGTAGTAAGAAGCAATGGTCATAGCGGTGTAAATCCCCAGCAGGGGAGTAGGAAGCAATGGCCATAGCGGTATAAATGAAAGTGAGTGTGTGAGTGAAAGTGAAAATAGACATCACAAACAACTATGATTACACTGAATTCCAATTACTTGTTTCATAAGAAAATGATATTTACAAATGAATTTTAATTTTAAACTTTAATAACATCGTATTTCTTTATATCATGGCGAGATTTAGACAGCATGGCCCTAACTCAGACGTCACAGACTGCCCCTGTTTGATGAGGTCGTAAAATGATTCACAATTCATCTGGCTCACTTGTTACACCTGTTATGTGGGTTTTTTGCGCTTATTCAGTGTAGTTCTGTAACGCACAATGTGATTGATATAACATCAAGTCCGTACCAGACCGCTAAACCTTTCTAGCGACAGAACCTCGTTTTGAGATTTCCACGATTTTCAGGTTTCTTTTTGTCAGAGCTCTCTGTACGACAGAGCACGTTGCATGACATGTTTGCAAATATTGTTAGGAGCGTAGTGTTGCAATATACAAGTGCTTAGACGTATCAAATAATATTGATCAATATTTATGTATCTAGTTAAATGAATTGGTCTCAAAATTGTGGACTGGTTATTATACTAAGTTCCGCAATAGGACGGAACCCAGTCAACAGGAGACGAGGCAGTCGTGTAATCAATGTTTTGACTTGCAATGGCCACAAAGGTGTATTCCCTAGCAGGGGAGTAAAAAGCAATAGCCATAAGGTGTATTCCCTAAAAGGGGAGTAAGAAGCAATGACCACAAAGGTGTATTCCCTAACAGGGGAGTAAAAAGCAATAGCCATAAAGGTGTATTCCCTTAAAGGGGAGTAAGAAGCAATGGCCATAGCTGTGTATACCCTAACAGGGGAGTAAGAAGCAATGGCCATAGCGGTGTAAATCCCTAAAACGGGAGTAAGAAGCAATGGCCATAGCGGTGTGTTCCCTAACAGGGGAGTAAGAAGCAATGGCCATAGCTGTGTATATCCTAACAGGGAGGGTAAGAAGCAATGGCCACAAAGGTAATTCCCAGGGGAGTAAGAAGCAATGGCCATAGCGGTGTGTTCCCTAACTGGGGAGTAAGAAGCAATGGCCACAAAGGTATATTCCCTAAGAGGGGAGTAAGAAGCAATGGCCATAGCGGTGTATTCCCTAACAGGGAAATAAGAAGCAATGGCCATAGCGGTGTATTCCCTAACAGGGGAGTAGTTCACCTGATCACATACTAAGTTAGGGGATGTACATTAACTGTTAGTTCTTCACACCACTCCGTTAGGGGCTGTACATTAACTGTTAATTCTTTATACCACTCCGTTAGGGGACGTACTATAACTGTTAGTACTTCATACCACTCCGTTAGGGGATGTACCATAACTGCTCGTACTTCATACCACTCCGTTAGGGGCTGTACCATAACTGCTCGTACTTCATACCACTCCGTGGGGGGCTGTACAATACCACTCCACTCCGTAGGGGATGTACCATAACTGCTCGTACTTCATACCACTCCGTTAGGGGCTGTACATTAACTGTTAGTTCTTCATACCACTCCGTTAGGGGCTGTACATTAACTGTTAATTCTTCATACCACTCCGTTAGGGGATGTACATTAACTGTTAGTTCTTCATACCACTCCTTTAGGGGATGTACATTAACTGTTAGTGCTTCATACCACTCCGTTAGGGGATGTACCATAACTGCTCGTACTTCATACCACTCCGTTAGGGGATGTACATTAACTGTTAGTTCTTCATACCACTCCGTTAGGGGCTGTACATTAACTGTTAGTTCTTCATACCACTCCGTTAGGGGATGTACCATAACTGCTAGTTCTTCATACCACTCCGTTAGGGGATGTACCATAACTGCTAGTTCTTCATACCACTCCGTTAGGGGATGTACATTAACTGTTAGTGCTTCATACCACTCCGTTAGGGGCTGTACATTAACTGTTAGTTCTTCATACCACTCCGTTAGGGGATGTACATTAACTGCTAGTTCTTCATACCACTCCGTTAGGGGATGTACCATAACTGCTAGTCCTTCATACCACTCCGTTAGGGGATGCATTCTACTGATGGACTGTCATAATTACAATGAATAGAAAAGGACAATGAAAAAATCACTGTTGCTCCCCTTGTAATTTACCACCATGACCCTCACCTTCACAGTCGGGCGCCGGCCTGTCGTATGTACCATCACTCTTACACGTGAAGGAGTTGTCCGTCAGCACCTCGTAGCCGGAGTCGCACACCACGTGGCACTTGTCCCCGAACCGTGCTCCCTGGCTGCAAGTGGTCCGCCCGTGCCGGATGTCACCAATACTTTGGCACTGCGCACCTGCCCGAATAGAGGTAACATTGACGGGACTTCACACACTGACGATATATCCAACACAGGCCAAGACAGGGGTCTGTATCGGTTGAGATCATCAGTTTTATTTATTTTAAACTACAAGGTTGGTAAACATCACATACAATGTGATGAATCAAATTGAATCATACTCGGACATGGTTTCACAGGGGCAAAAGTGAGTGAGTTTGGTTTCACGACGCTTTTAGCAATCTTCCAGCAATATCACGGCGGGGGACATCAGAAATGGGTTTCACACATTGTTGATATTTCCGACACAGGTCAAGACGTAAGGTATGGGTGTCGGTATGGGTTGACATCATCAGTTTTATTTAAACTACTTGGTTGGTAAACACCATATACCATTTAATGAACTCGTGTGAATGAATGAAATTGAATCGAACCCGGACATGGGTTCACAGGCACACAAAAGTGAGTGAGTATGGTTTTACGCCGCTTTTAGCAATATTCCAGCAAAATATCACGGCGGGGAACAACTGAAATGAGCTTCACAAATTGTACCCATGTGGGGAATCGAACCCGGGTCTTCGGCGTGACGAGCGAACGCTTTAACCACTAGGCTATCCCACCGCCCCAGGACACAAAAGGGGCACAGGACATACAGTTTAAGCATGTCAACAATGGCCAGTGCGATGCCACTTACTCTCGACTGTGATGGTGAATGTACAGAAGTCCCTCCTCTTCTGCTTGTCGGTCACCGTGTACTTGACGATGTGGGTACCAAGGGTCACCCGGCTGCCACGTCTCGGCGAGAACTTGTTCAAGGTTGGCCTGAAACGTGTATGGTGTTTCGTGTAAATGTTCGTCTATGTAGATTGTTTTGTCATTCGAACCAATAGGAACGCAGGAAAATGTGTCCTAGGTATGTATAGTTACATAATGCCGACACCATACAGTGGACGCGACTCGGGGTTATACAGTTTATAACAAGCAGTATTCGTAGTTTAGTTTAACAAGTAATATTCGTAGGCTGCAGTGCAGACTGAATCCCCCCTGACAGCTGTGATTGGATAATTTTGTGTAGGATTTTGGGGTTTGTTTGAAATGTACGTCCATCCAGTAATTAAACATATCTAAAGCTGCCCTTTTCTAATACTGGCGTACGCTGAATGTCACCACCGGTATTTTCAAGCGGGTAACATTTGTACGAAACTTGGGTCAGTTCAGCTTCCTGGTTGATTTAGTCATTTTTGTTTTTATTGACGCTTTAAGGCTAGACTATGCACACATGTAGATGTAATAGCTGTTGAGGGCTTCGTTATTGTTTTTTTAACAAAATTAACATTACTTTAGAACTCAACAGAAAAAAAATGGTTTTGCGCAATTTCGGTGACACAGGTCACTGAAGCTCCCGTTGCGGAGTTGCGTCCCTTGAATTTGAACCAATCATGGCGATTTAGAATATTTACGTGAGGACTCCATCTTCGGGGTCAGTGGCGGTCGGTAGGACCCAGGTGACTTGGGCATTCCTTTCACCTGGCTTGACCAACGTAGAAAACGACAGCGGACAGTCGATGGATGGTGGGCGGTTTGCTCCTGCAACAGAAGCACACAACTAACTAGTACCGGACTAGCGGGCTCAAATCAATCCTTAAAAATATAACGACCAATCAGTTTTCAAACGTTTAGTGAAATAACGTTTTCAAATTCCATTAACACATTCACCAGACAGTCAACCCGTGAAGATCCGGGTTAGAACTGATCTTCAGTAACCCATGCTTGTCGTAAGAGGCGACTAACGGGATCAGGTGGTCAGGCTCGCTGACTTGTTTGACACATGTCATCGTATCCCATTTACGATGCTCATACTATTGATCACTGGATTGCCAGGTCCGGACTCGAATTTACAGATATATAGCTGGAATATTGTTGAGCGTGGTGTTAATCAAAACAAAGGAACATATAGAACAGTCACCTCGTGGGTTACAATGTTCCCTTTACTTCGTGAGGTCGACCATGCAAACCAAGTATGATCTTCTTTGACATCCAATAACTAGTTGAATGACAACCTTCTGTCAGGGTTATTTGTAACTGTGTCCCAAGCAGAAATGCTGATCATTCTAATTGGGCGTTTGTCACAGTCACAAACCCAAGTTAGATCATACCCACACGGTCACACTTTATATTACACTAAAATGTCAAGATTACGAATTACATAACGTCATGGCACACCTGATCCTATCTCTTACTTTGACAAATATTCAGAACCCAAACTAGACTGTATTCCTTTCTTCTCTTTACCCGACACCAATCATATTTTTGGGTGAAATGGATGGCAAATGTTATTATCAAATTAAGTTTGGGTTGAGTTAGTGAGTGAGTCCGTGAGTTGGGTATAAAGCGAGTTTGAAAGTATTTCAGTATCAGCTCAAAAGGTGGAAAGTTCTACGCACTATTCGTTGATTTTGCAAAGGTTTTCGATTCTGTGCAGCCGGATAAACTATGGAGACTTCTAAAATCGCACGGTCTTAGTAGTAAAATGAATAAACTGTTGAAGAGTATATACGAAAATGTTAAAGTGTGTGTAAGGAATCAGCATGAATTATCTGAACCTTTCATTAGTGAACTAGGTGTTAGACAAGGCTGTACTTTAAGCCCTTCCTTTTTTACGTTTTTCATTAATGAATTAGCAATACAAATATGTGACACATGTACGAATGGGATTCAACTACACCCAGATACAATACAACTATTTCTGCTACTCTTTGCCGATGATATTGTACTATTCTCTAGTACTGTTAGCGGTTTACAGAAACAAATAGATGAATTAGACAAATTTTCTGACCAATATAAATTGTGTGTAAACAGAGACAAAACCAAAATTATCGTCTTTAAGAAAGGTGGAAAGCTCTCTAAATTAGAAAAATGGTATTATAAAGGGCAACTACTCAAAACTACCAGTGTTCATAAGTATCTTGGTGTATAGTTTTGTAATAGCCTTTCCTGGTCCAAACACACAAAACAAGCGTCAGCACAAGCCTTGAAATCTTAATCGGTGTTTGTAAAAATATGAGATCGTTGGGTGAAATGTCCTTTAACACATTCTTTAAAATATTCGATATGAAGATAAGTCCAATACTTCTATATGGCTCTGAAATATGGGGATTACAACAATATGACAGTATTGAAAGAGTTCATTTATATGCATGCAAAAAGTTTCTTGGTGTAAAACCGAACACATGTAATAGGATGGTTTCCGGAGAATTAGGTAGATTCCCCTTGTTTATACACTCTTCCATTAAAGCCATAAAGTATTGGGTAAGATTACTGCATATGCCATGCCATAGGTTTCCGAAAAAATGTTATGATATGATGAAATTGTATGACGAAAATGGGAAAAGAAATTGGGAGAGTGATATTAGGGGAGTTGTTGTACAAAACTGGTTATGGTTATGTGTGGTGTGATCACAATGTTCAGTTGCATACCAATTTTATCATATCATTTACACAAAGAATGAAAGATATCTATTTCCAGTCTTGGTCGGAATCACTACTTCTATCCACAAAATGTTTATACTATAATCAATGTAAATCGGACATACGTTTAGAAGACTATTTAGCAAAAATCGGCGTAAAGAAGTTCCGTATAGCTCTCTCTCGTTTTCGTTGCTCTTCCCATGAATTATTTATTGAAACTGGCAGGTATGCAGGTATACAAAGAGAAAACAGAATATGTCAGTTATGTAATAAGAGCACTGTTGAGGATGAACTACATTTCCTTCTAATCTGTCCTGTTTATACGACTCTACGAACGAACTACTTAAAGCCATACTATTATAAGCATCCAAGTGTAAGAACATTAATTTCACTATTAACAGATACTACCACATCAATATTACAGAATCTGGCAATGCACATCTATTTCGCTATGAGATTAAGAAAAAGTATTGTTGCAGAAAAGAATTTATAAATGACTTCTATCTACTCATGTAAACTCTAAATGTACTACAGGCCTGTGGCCTTTTTAAGTACTGAAATAAAGATTGATTGATTATCAAATTAAGTTTGGGTTGAGTTAGTGAGTGAGTGCGCGAGTTGGGTATAAAGCGAGTTTGAAAGTATTTCAGTATCAGCTCAAAAGGTGGAAAGTTCTACGCACTATTCGTTGATTTTGCAAAGGTTTTCGATTCTGTGCAGCCGGATAAACTATGGAGACTTCTAAAATCGCACGGTCTTAGTAGTAAAATGAATAAACTGTTGAAGAGTATATACGAAAATGTTAAAGTGTGTGTAAGGAATCAGCATGAATTATCTGAACCTTTCATTAGTGAACTAGGTGTTAGACAAGGCTGTACTTTAGATTAAGAGTTATCTAGTCCACAGTGCGACTACGTCAGATCTCCTCACAATGAGGTTTATCTCCTAATCCAGTCTGTGAATTACACCTGTGATTAAGGGATAGCTCACCTGACGTGTGCAGGAGACAGGCGAGGACTGCAGTCAGCAGGGCAATCATGACGGCATCTACAGACACAAGTAATTCTCAGGCTATATGTAGACATGTGTATCCGGCCCTCTTACTGGAGCATGGAACTCGACACTTTTTTTATCAGTGACAAGTGATAACTGAAATACAAAAAGCAAAGGACAATTATAACACTGATATTAGCTTGTGTTTACTGGTGCCTCAACAACCTATGACGTACACTGACGCATGCTGAAATACGATTCCAAGAACTTTATCTCAAGGTTGCCGGAACAAAGGGTATCACCATGTGTGCCTACGACGTATGTCAAACTCACGAAGTGTCTATGTCAGTCCCTCATGAAGTGTCTGTGTCAGTCCCTCATGATGTGTCTGTGTCAGTCCCTCTCTGTCAGTCCCTCATGTGTCTGTGTCAGTCCCTCCTCATGAAGTGTCTGTGTCAGTCCCTCATGAAGTGTCTGTGTCAGTCCCTCATGATGTGTCTGTGTCAGTCCCTCGTGAAGTGTCTGTGTCAGTCCCTCATGAAGTGTCTGTGTCAGTCCCTCATGAAGTGTCTGTGTCAGTCCCTCGTGAAGTGTCTGTGTCAGTCCCTCATGATGTGTCTGTGTCAGTCCCTCGTGAAGTGTCTGTGTCAGTCCCTCATGAAGTGTCTGTGTCAGTCCCTCATGAAGTGTCTGTGTCAGTCCCTCATGATGTGTCTGTGTCAGTCCCGTGATGTGTGAAGTGTCTGTGTCAGTCCCTCATGAAGTGTCTGTGTCAGTCCCTCATGAAGTGTCTGTGTCAGTCCCTCATGAAGTGTGTCAGTCCTGTGTCAGTCCCTCATGAAGTGTCAGTCCCTGTGGGACAGACATCATGAGTGTCTGTGTCAGTCCCTCATGAGGGACTGACACATGAGGGACTGACTACGAGCACTGTTCTGCAAATTACGACTCGAAAGCGGAGAGGTAACGTCAGAAATCATATATCGCGACAGTGATGGTTAATGAGTACTTCTGAGGCCCGTCCCTCGAAATATGGTGTTGCCGAAATAGGGTTGCGCAACAAAGAGAAAATGACCAATATGCGAACGAAGCAACGTACTTCCCTCTCTTCGGTTCTATTTTTTTAAATTTATTTATTTATTTATTTTTTTTCACATTTTTATTTCCTCTTCAGTTTTTACATGTTATATATATGATGCTTATACATATACACATACTTATATATATATACATATACATGTGATTTTTCGTAGGTTGATTCTAGAAGAGACAGATAACATTATCTAGTATCCTTGTCGTTGTTGATAAGTTTTGATATAATGAAAGGCATTATTGGAGAAGTAGGTAAGGGGTTTAAGTGTACAATATGATATCTCTTCATACATATTTTAATGGTTGATTTTATGCTTTGATATCTAAGGATATTTATCTTGATGTTAAAAAACCCCTGCAGTTCATCATGTGTATAGAATTCACCTGTATTTGGGTTAATCAAATCATAAACAAAGTGTAACAAAATATTTTTTGTATCAAAATATAATATCGCCACTATCAAAGTAGACACCCATTTCCTCACAGGGATGTGCTCTCAGATTTCCAACCTCATATTTGATAATTACTGTGCCGAACTGATTGACTGAGATATATGACGAACTGATTGACTTAATTATAAGCTGACCTGCTTGTCTGTTACGTCCATATGGTTACGTGTGATTATTTGTGATCCATGTTGAAACGATTGCCTTATATATGTACTGAACTAATTGTTTGTGATAAAGGACTCTACTAAGTTCTCTCTCCTCGGGAAACCATAAATCGCCGTACAGACCTTGGCTCCGTTCCAAGACGTTTGTCAGTGGGGGACGTCATCCAACACCAATAGTCTTTTGGGGATGAAACAATCCGATTATTTAGTGGTCGCTACCGCCACACAATTGTCCGCACAAAACGGGGTTGTGGTCAAAGCAAGTCCTCTGATTGATTGATCCTTGTTCAGGAGATATTTACAACTGATGCTTTGTTTTGAGAAGCCATTGCTCGAAATATATTCTTACATTAAGCAGTCGATGAAAGAAAAAAATCAAGCGAATATATAAAGAATTGCAGATTTTGCAAGCGTTGACCAATCAGAGGGCTTGCTTCGACCACACACCCGTTTTGTGCGGACATATCGCCATCCATTTGTGTCAAGATCGTTTACAGTAGTTGAGAATCAAAATCGGGTTTCAATCGACTTGCAGAAATAGCAATAAAGAATTGGAAGGTGTCATCAGTGGTGATCGATAGGCCAATCATCCATGATTATGTTTACATTAAGTTTTAATTGATTGCATGCGATGGTAGCGTAGCGATCGGCAAAGCAGGCGGGTGGGGTACACCGAAGTGTCCGGCCTTGTCATAATGTATTGTACTGTGTAGCATTTTGAGTCGGGGGTCATCTCAAAAAATATTTTTTTAAATCTTTAATCTTCGCAAAGACACGAGGGCCTGTGGCGGAAACTACAGTCTGCAACCAACACGTATCGTGGTGGCCCAAACTGTGCATACCAGGGCCTCGTTCCACAAGGCAGTTGTACTGTACACGATCGTAACATTACGATCGCTAGAGAAGCCAAATTTTGTGCACCATCTACGTAGTGAAAGATGAACACATCTACGATAAGTCTAATTATCTACGTAGATGATATTTTTTACTTAGGCACGAAGACACTTCCATATGAAAGAGAGAGTGATATCAGTACCCACTGGCGAGTCCGTGTTTCTTCATGTCTAGCTGCCCTCAACACCAACAATGACGTCATCACAACACGCAGGCACATACATAACCATCCCCTGAGTGGAGATCGCAGCTGACAAGGCAGCCCAGTACCAAGGACAAAATACGAATGGCAGCAGTTCCACCCTTTCTATCTACGAGAAAGAGGTGTGAACTGATTGTGATCACGATATGATTGTAGAAAAGATAACCAATACCTGTTGTACTGCAAATTGTCAATAATGATAAAACATGAAAGTCGCCAGTTCCTAAAGGCTCGAGAAAGCTGCTTTCTGATTGATTGACGGTAACTGCCTACTTCTTGATAGGCATTTCATTGCTCCTTCCATTCGTAACTACTCATGTCAATCCGGCAAGCCGGATGGCGACTCAAAATACCCTCTCGTGACCATGTCACGACTGGGCCTTGTGTAAGCGCAAACAGGCATGAAGATGAAAATAGTCTAGGACTATTTCCAAGAGAGATAACTCCCAAAGATAATTTCCAAACATGGCTACTAGAAGAAAACGTCAATCAATTTAAAATACAACACGAAAGTCACTTTAAGTAAGTTTCTTATGTGGTTAACAAATATCAGTAATAAGGATAATTTTATAATCACGGAAATAATAATGAAAATCAGTAATAGCAATAAAACTATTTGACCTCTTTTCACATTTTTCTTGGCGATTCTTGGCAATAATGGCGTACTATACAGGTACGAGTCTTCTTGTAGGTCACGGAAAGAGGCGAGTAGTTACGAATGTACTCATTCGTGACCAACTCGTGTTACTCCGGGACAAACCGAATACATTCTTGGAGGTTACGGAAAGGGGAGAGTGGTGACTAATGTTCATTAGTCAGTCAAAAGCTTTAGGACACCGGCGAAAACCATCCCAGTCTGTGCCTTGAAAAAAATATTTAAAAAATTGAAAACTACACAAATGAATATCCTGGAATGTCAAACAGATGACCTGTATAGCTGTACAAGGGCTATGAAATTAATCAATTATCTCCCTTTTGAACTCTTATTCGATAGACGAAGACTATGACGGTTGCAGTCATACAATCCGTAACTGTTGTTCGGAATACGGAATAACATCTTGAGACTTCGAGGTTACATGATCAGAAAACACATTCCGACTGTCACTGTTCAAATGTGGTAATCGACGTTATGACTGTTTGGACGAAATGTGGTTCTGACGTCATACGTTATAAGAGATACCCTCTGACCTCGGATCTGTGGTTAGCGGTAGTGAAGGGTGTGACGAATGGTACTAGTCCCGCTAATTGTACAGATGGAGGACACACGCAGCAGCACAAGAGTGCAGTTTTTAATGGTGGGAATAAGTATCCATCAAACATATCACCGAATCTGTCGAATCATGTCACTTAAGCCCGCATAGACTAACATTTAGTCTCTGAAATGAACATATTTTACAGAAAAAACGGTTAATAAATAATTATCATAAAATATAGGGAAAAGGTTGGTTGATTGTTAAACGCCGGCGGTCTGTAAATAACTGAGTCTGGACCAGGCAATCCAGTGATCAACAACATGAGCATATATCTACGTAATTGGGACGCGATGACATGTGTCAGTGAACGTGACCGCCCGATCCCGTTAGTCGCCTCTTACGACAAGCATGGGTTACTGCAGACCAATTCTAAACCGGATCTTCACTGTCAAAACGAAAGAACGGAGACTTTCTTCATTTTCTGAAACTGCGGTTATCTAGACTTGCCACGTATTCTAGACTTGCATGAGCTTTCTAGGATATATTTGTTTCAGGGTATGTACGAAAGACTTACGCCCACACATGCTCATCAATTAACAACAATTCCAACGGTAGAAAATAAAGTTTATTATGCAAATTGTAAAGATTTATGGCACATTCAGACACGTAATGAAGTCATTCAAACAAATACAGCAAACATATAGAACATTTCTAATAACATGCATTACATAACACTGAACCACAGTGACACAAGTCTCTGACATGAACACACCGGTGTCAACCCACACTAACTAACACTTTCTAAAATAAACATATCAAGATTTCTTTGTACACTTGTCTTTTATTGTAATACACAAAGGATTCCAGAGAATCTCTTCATTTTCAGACCTGAGACTGAACCAATGTAGACTTGCTTATTGAGATTTGCTTGTGGGTTTTCGGACACGTTTGTTTAAGTGTCTGTGAGCGACACTTTTGAACTCCGTGTGGTAGGTAACTTTCTGTCTGATGCTTATTAATAAGTAATCAATTAACCATATTGCCATTCCGACCAAAGTTATCAGCTCATGCCGTCAGCTGGGTGAAATTATTATTTCTAAGAACTGATTCCTCTTTACTGATTAAAAAACCCTGTGAGGATTAGTTTTCTTGAGCTTAATATGGAACATGCATTGAGCCCATTAAACACAGATTCTGACAACACGTAAATACTGAATTTGTTAAGAGCGTATCAAAAATTTTCTTTTGCATTTTGATCGACGAACCAGAAATGACTATTTGCCTTTCGACAACATCATATGAAATCATGTGCGTTGAGCGCCGTGGACGTGGTACATGCACGCATTGCATTTTTTTGAACCCAAGGAAGATTGGAGACGTTTCCCGCCCACTCTTCTTGGCAAGTCATTCTGTATGATCCGTATCCGACTGAAAACCAATCTTGTAAACCGGTAGTGCTAAACACCCTGAAATCTCCCACAAACATACAGAGCCGTACACAAGTCTACTTTGCTTTGCTACGCGCCTTTCAATGTTGAAATATTGTGAAAAGGTGTCGCTAAATCAACGTTGATCGAGCTGCGGATTCTCAATTCATCAGATCCCAGTGGGGATTCGATAAGGGAGGTAATGGTGTACCACTTCCGGTCATTGGCGGGTACCATTTCTGTGATCGCTAACACATATAGCTTCTTGGCTGCTCTGGAACTGTCTTGACGTTGGTGAGAGTGGAATCTGTCATCTGTGAACTCTTATCCCAGATAACAACCTGCCTACGTGAAAGTATATTAGTATTTGATCTAACAAATAATAATATATTTTTCTTAATCCCTGAATTGTGAGGGAAAACAAGACATATTTTTAAAAATAAATGTTTTATAACTAATTCAATATGATGAATACTTGGGGAGTAAGCATAGCCTGGCGTTATATTGGGGTGATAAATCACAGTCGTTAGAGTCTCAAACTCTGATATAAAGTCAGATGTCGTTTTCCAGTAGAATCTGAAAGTCATAACATGGTTCTGTGGTAACACCGTATCTCGTCACAGGTCTACATTCGAAGCTCTATAATGATCCCTCCCACTTCGGTAAAACAGTAGCCCCGTTCAATACTATCTCTCGAGTGGCTTGTGTGGGAGTCAGTAGGGCTGGGTATTCGATGGCACTTGAGGTATAGTAATCACACAAAACTCACGAGCAATAGTAGAAACACTTTGTCTTATCGCTGTCACGTCAGTCTTCATTTGAAGGAACACAACTGTTGCCAGTAGATCACAGGACACTGCCAACTCTTACCACATTGTCATAGCTACACTTGTCAATGAACACCCTCTCAACCTGGAACAATTCCGGATTTAGATACAGTTTGTGGACGGTAGTTTGATTAGGTTTACTCTCCAAAAAGACTCTTAATTCCACTGCAATAGTGATCCGTGGAACTGTACATGGTCCATGTTCCTGAGGACATCACATAGGATGAAGAAACACGACACAACGATTAAGGTCTTGCACTTAGCGTTCGTCCATCTGTCTCAATGTGAAGCTGGAAATAGAAGAAACACAAATGTATGCTTGTTTGTTGTTAAATGACGTACTCAGCGTGAAGAGAGAGTGTTGCACCCACAGTGCATCTTCAGAACCATTCTCCGTGGTTTATGAACATTGTGAAGGCTTGGAGAGGATTGCTAGAGAACATCAATAGAAATTGAGGGAATCAAGTAGACACCTTTTAAAAAATATATTTAGAGGAATATATAACTGAATTATCCAGTTTGTGATTCTTTTCAACAAAGAAGCACTGTGACATTCTATGTGACATCATGAACAGTTGACCAATGAGCATTTAGAATAGCAAAATATGCACATGCTTAATTGTGTTATTACACACACACTCGTTCAACCAGGTGATCAATATCAAGTGTTGTAATGGTTATTCGGTGGATTCCTAAACAATTACTAGTCAATCCTGTCAAGTGGAGTTTTAGAAATCAAAGACAACCTACGCCAAACGTTTTGTTCTCAAATGCCGTTTCCCGCGCCTCTCGTTGTCTGTTCCGTCTCCAGAGGCAACACGTGATCATCACGATGGCGACAGCACAGACGACAACCACTGCAGATACCACCAAAGGCACGAGCAAGTTCTCCGACTTAACTAAAACAGAATAAACCACAATGCTAATAGTGAAATTCTTGGGGAGCGATCTCTATCTATGCATGTCATGTCTTTTTAGTAAAGTTTGTTTGTTTGTAGTTTAACGCCGCTCTCAGAAATATTCCAGCTATGGAGCGGCAGTCTGTGAATAATCCAGTGATCAACAGCATGAGCATTGACCTACGCAATTGGGATACGATGAAACGTGTCAACCAAGTCAGCGAGCCTAACCACCCGATCCCGTTAGCTACTTCTCATGACAAACAAGGGTTGCTCAAGACCAATTCCTACCGGAACTTGACAGGTATTTGAGCAAAGTAAACCGGTGGTTAAAGGTGGCAATAATTTACATTTGAAATAATTTCCAGGGCAAACAACAGACTACCTGTGGCCATAGTGACGAAGTGTATGGACGCCGTTTCCGCCAGAGTGTTGTTGCTGAAGAAGAGAATGATCTGCGCCATGTAGGCCGTGGACTGCGACAACTCCGAAATAGTGACGGAAGTCTTTGAGGGGTTAAGACGCACCACCTGTACTCCTGGCCCCGAACCTGGGTTGGCCAGTGCAGCTGCACCGCTGCGCATGTACCGCACCTCCATGGCAACGAGGTTCTCCAAAATGGAATCCGCCCATCTGATGACGACGGTAGTGACACCAACGCCAACTTCTTGCAATTGGAGGTTAATTCTCACAGTGATGCCTGTATTAAATGTTACAATGTTATTAAATGAATGTAATATATTTCACTAAGTTAAGAGATGCTTACACAGATACGATAACCCAGAACTAATTACAAAGTCGCTTTACATTTCCTTGCAGTGAAGTCCTGGGTTCCGATCAACAATCATTTGTAACATTACGTGTCGTAACTCCACAATTTACCATAGGCTTACGAATGTCCTGCGCTACGAACGTTTTTTGGATCGGGACCCAACTTCAGACTTTCATATAACATGGTTCAAGAGTGAGTGAGTTTAGGTTTACGCCGCGTTTAGCAATATTCCAGCACATCACAGCGGGGACACCAGAAATGGGCTTCACACATTGTACTCATGTGGGAATCGAACCCGGGTCTTCGGCGTGACGAGCGAACGCCTTAACCGCAAGGCTACCCCACCGCCCCCATGGTTTTAGAGTACCACTCAGTTTAATATCAACTGTGAAACCAAGAGAACAAGAATATATAGTAATTAATGTTGGAAGTGTGGGTGTTTACGTACTCTTAAACGGCTTTGTTTCAAATCTGATCGGAGTCAGTCGTACACGATTGTTGTCAACAATATTGGTTAAGATGACCAGTCTGGCCCTGTAGCCCCGGGCCGCTTGTAGCCTGGTCAGCTCGTGGCTGGTGACGCTTGGGTCCAGAGGGTCAGTCTGGTTCCAGAGTATCATATCCTCTACCTCCTCTTCTCTGTATTCTATCTGCAGTCCAGTCACATACGGCGTCCTCGGCGTCCTAAGGCTCTTCCACGCCAAGACTGCCGAGTTGGACGACGCCGATACGTTGAGAGGGACATTCAGAGTGGTAGGAGGTGTTGACGATGTTACCCCTTCCACTGAAACAAGGAACTGATACTTTTAGGTTCTGCTACTTCAAATCATAATCTGTCCAATATTACCATTATTTAACTTAATCTGCCCTTTAACAAGCAGTAATAGAAGAGATCATTCAGTGCAGACTGACAACTGTATGATTTAGTGTAAGAGTTTTATGTTTTTGAGATGTACACCCATCCAGTTATTAAAGCTGGCCATGCTTTTCAATATTCAGTGCTGCTTAATGCATCGCAAATACTTTCATTTGGTGCGGAACTGGTAATGGCTGATCAGCTTCTTGTACATGAATAATAAACTGAATAAGTGAGTCAATTTTGTTGATATTGCTGCTTTAAGGAGAGACTGTAAAGGTAGTAGCTGTAATGCTATGCGGGTTTTATTTAAAATGTAATATTACTATAGAAATCTATGGGAAAACGTTTGGGGGACATATTTCGAAAAGATGCCAGTAAGTATGGCGTGTATACCATGGGAGGTAACTCTGCAAGAGATGCTGAGTTCACAGTCGATAAACAGTTGTCCCATAAACAAGTCATCCCATTTTGACCGCATGGAACATATGCATGGCAGTCATTGTGGCCAACCGATACCCATCCCCACGGGGGTTGTATATACAGATGATTTTAAGGAACAAAAGAGGTTAGGGGTCATCACTATTTGGAGGAGGAGAGGGGTTTTTTCAAAGTGAAGAAGAATATCCTTAAAAATATCCGTGATCCCCTGGTGCAAATGCGTTAATTACTACACGCTTGCTTTGTATATACTCAAGTCTCTTATTCACGTGCTGCGCAATTCAAGCTCAACTGTTATTGCCCACTGAGTAAAGGAAAAACAATATTTTGCGGAATAACAACCCATATGAATTTTTTCTCAAAGTAATAAATAAATCACTTTTCGACAACGACCTGTTGAAAACCTACCACAGACATCATCTTCAAAAATGAAGCCAAGGCCACAGTTGCCGGTAGGTGGCGTCACTGTCACGGCGCCCCCTGTCGTGAAGACCGTCTCGGCAACTGTCATAGTGGAGTCGGTGGAATTGAAGACGCCAACGAAAGACGCTGTCAGCCGTAACAAGTCCTGTCTTGTGTTCTCCACAGAACTGGAACTGTACATCGTGTTGAGGTCAGTAACAGACTGGTAGCATTGATCAGACACTATCATCTCTTTAAATATGGGCTTCGTATACATCAGTGAACTAACTGTTATAATTACTTACTAAGGTATTCAATTTAGAAATTATTTGACTGATTATAAATAATCTTAATTCTTAAGTGCCATGACGTTTTTGACACTGAAATCTTCCGACGGCATAACAAACTTGTTATATACGTTGAGAGTTTATTAACGAAATAGGAGGAAACCATTAAGGAATCATGTCACAAATGCACATGATAAAACACATTGATGAAAGCTTAGAATGTAAAGAATAGTTAGTTACTGCTACGGGTAATAATAATAATAAATGCATATTTATAATGCGCCCCTTCCACACCCTAAGGCATGCTCAAAGCGCTACAGAAGAATATTTACACTGGAGTATTTACAGATGAAGTTATACATAGTATACTGAGAAAAGGTGGGTTTTAAGTCTGGACTTAAAATGTCAATTGTGGCAGAGCTTTTAAGGGCACATGGGAGAGAGTTCCAGAGCACAGGCGCGGAGTAAGAGAACGATCGGTGTCCGAAGGATTTCAGTTTGTAGGATGGGATGACCAGTCGGTTTTGTGTGTTTGAGCGCAAGTTGCGTGCGGGGACATACGGATGTAGGAGTTCAGACAAGTAGGGGGGAGCCAAACCATGGAGGCACTTGTACGTCAGACAGAGGATCTTAAAGTCAATTCTGGCCCTAACTGGTAGCCAATGCAGTTCTTTCAACACTGGTGTTATATGGGAACGTTTAGAAGTCTTGCTGATGATGCGGGCGGAAGTATTTTGGATCTTCTGAAGCTTATCAAGGAGTTTAGAACTGAGGCCCGGAAAGGATGCTGTTACAGTAATCAAGCCTAGATGTAACAAGAGCTCGAACAAGGGCTTGAGTTGCAGCAGTTGTCAGGTATTGCCGAATGTTACCAATGGATCTTAGGTGAAAGTAGCAGGTCCTGCTCAGACGGTTAACATGAGCATCCAGAGTCAAGGAAGAGTCGATGTGGACACCAAAGTCCTTAACCGCATCAGAGAATCTGACGTCAGAGTCTGCGACTGTAAGGGTGTCGGTTTTGACCTTGCTGAGTTGTTGCTTTGTACCAATGAGAACTGCTTCTGTTTTGTGTCATTAAGTTTAAGCATGTTTTCTGTCATCCAGCACTTGATGTCCTGCGTACATTCAGCGATGCACTGAAGAGACGTAGATAGATCTGACAGATGAAATGCTTTCAGGAGCTGGGTGTCATCAGCGTAGGCATGATGAGAAACTGTGTGGTCTGTAGTTATCCTTCCGACATATCCGGTATACAACACAAACAAGACTGGACCAAGGACTGATCCCTGTGGCACCCCACATGTGATAACAGTGCCTTTTGATCTCTCAGTGCCAACAACAACAGATTGCTGTCGGTCAGACAGATAAGACGTCACCCATTGAAGGGCATGACCTTCAAGTCCGTACTGTTGTGTGAGCCTGGACAAGAGTCTATGGTGATCGATTGTGTCGAAGGCTGCAGAGAGGTCCAACAACACTAGAGCAGCAATCCTACCATCGTCGACAGCACAACGAAGCTCATTCGTCACTTGCAGTAAGGCAGTCTCCGTACTATAGTATTGCCGATACGCTGACTGGAATTCATCAAGCAGAAGATGTTTAGAGAGATGGTCTTTGAGTCTGACATGCACGGCCTTCTCAATTATCTTGGAAATGAAGGATAAATTTGAGACAGGTCGAAAGTTCTGAAGATTCTGAGAGTCAAGATCAGGTTTCTTTAGCAGAGGTTTGACTACAGCATGTTTGAATCTGGAATGATAGATTGTTGTTTTTTCCCCACAGGCAAGGAGCAATATTGAAAATTTAAATCACAACTAAACCCATGCTAGCCCCTCTGTGTTTAGTTCTCAACTGCAGTGATCGTGTAGATCAACAGGTACAGTTGTCATGGTGATTTAGCACTGGTACAGTAATACAAGGGGCATGACTGGCCAAGTGGGCTTTCCCAGAGCAATTTGCCACCCACAGTTGCGTCCCATTGGGCACATGAGAAACGTATGATGATAATCCAGATTTGCCCAGATAATGTTATCGAGGTTTATTTCAGCATACGGTGTTCGTTGGTTTCACCTTGACCTTGGGTTTCCCCTACATTACGCTGATATGCCGCGTTATAACGGTGTTAAACCAAACTCACTACAATAATTCTGTTGATATTTACCTTGTATTTAATGTGATGAGGATGTCCACCCTGATGTTGTCCACATCCCGGCGCCTTCTGTCGACAGTATTTGACGCTGGACAGGTCAGGCTGACCTTCACATCCTCGCATTCAGACTTCGGCACTCCTTCCCCGGAATCACAGACCGGCTGAGAGTGGATGAGTTTGAGCACTGCCTGTTTGAACTGTGACTGGAAGGTGTCAGGTTGACCATCACAGTGACCACGATAGTCCACAGTAATGGTCACGGACATTGTCTCCACGACCTCAGTTCCTGAAACATTCGGACTTAGACTCTAGCACTGTTATAATTAATATTGCAATACACAGAGAGATGATAGCATCATCAGTATCATCAAGGATATCCTCGTGGATGACTCCGATGAACAATTTTCAATGTGAAATCATTCCACGGAGATTCAAAAATTTAATTCGCACGCACTCGCACACGCACACATACATATATTAATATTACGGCGGAGATATTATCAGAAGAGTGTGTCAATATTAATTTCTCCAACAACGCATATCGGTAGTATGCTTTTGAAGATTCGAACCAAATCCTCCTGCGAGACATCTGCCCTAAAAGTCAGTTTCCCTGACTAACCTAACAAACACTGACTGGACTTTTAAGCATTATTATGCTGGGGACAGCAAGCATAGACATACAACCATCACCGGAATCAAACCAAGGTAGTCTGTTAC